ACAATTAGCAGAAGACGAAGGACATAGTTTCCCACTGGCTGTGCCAGCTATCACTCACGGCAGATATGTCGATGACATATTTGGTGGTGCAGATACCGTGCAACAATTACAGGAGGTTGCACCTCAACTAAGGGACCTCTGCATGGCGGGCGGCTTTCCGCTAGCAAAATGGCATGCAACTCATCTCGACATACTCAAGACTGTCACCGACAGCCAAGACCAAGGCTTACCAATCACCTTCGACGATTGCGCAACCAAGATACTCGGACTCAAATGGCTCCCTCAAGAAGATACATTTGCATTCTCACCTAGGAACTCACGCACTGAAGACAGACTCACAAAACGCCTCGTCTTATCTGAAGTGGCTCAGATACTCGATCCACTTGGTTTTGCATCACCCGTCGTGATCAAGGCCAAAATTCTCTTGCAGGAGCTGTGGCTGCACAAGCTCCAATGGGATGACCCACTGACATCCCAGCTCTCAACCCGGTGGCTCATCCGCAGAGAAGAACTCATAGGCTTGGCCAAGCTTTCGATACCTAGATGGTTCAACACTTGGAGCACCTCTTCTGTGGGACTGCAAGGCTTCTCTGACGCTTCTCAATTAGCAATGACTGCAGTCGTATACATCTCCGTTCACGACTCAACTGGATCCACGTTTTCACTTGTGTGCTCCAAAACTAAGGTAGCACCTATCAAGCGGCTGTCAATCCCTCGACTTGAACTCACGGCTGCTCTACTGCTCTCTCGACTCATGCAATACGTCAAAGCCACTTTAAACATGGACGTAATGGCAACTCACCTGTGGACGGAATCTCTAGTGACACTTTCATGGGTCAGATCTCATGCATCACGCTGGAAGGATTTTGTCAGAAACAGGGTGGCTCAAATTGAAGAACTCACTCCAGCTGCTCACTGGAGATACATACCAGGAACTTCCAATCCGGCTGATTGCGCATCACGAGGCCTCACGACTGCTCAGCTTCAAAACCGCTCACTTTGGTGGACGGGACCACCATGGATACTCAATCCAGACTCATGGCCGTCGCAACTAGCACTCTCCGAAGAGTTGAGTGCAACAGAAGCTCACCCAGGCGTTTCGCTATTGACTGTTACGCCAAGGACTGATTATCAATGGGAACTCATCTACAAGTACTCAAGCCTCACTAAACTATTGAGGATTACAGCTCTCTGTTTCAGATTCGTCTCACGGTTGAGGAAGGTCCACGACTCATTGCCTGTTAGACACATCTCTCCAGAGACCTTGGAGAAAGCGAGGCTCTTCTGGATTCAGGCAGCTCAAGCAACGTACTTCTCTCACGAGCTCAAGGCGCTACAAGCAGACTCACCGTTGGCAAAGGCACACGCATTCAACCGATTAACTGCGTACATCGGCGCTCAAGGAGTCATTCGCGTCGGCAGACGACTCGCTCACGCAGCTCTTTCACTCGATGCGAAACATCCTGCAATATTGCCTCGTTACTCTCAGCTATCATCATTGATCATCGCTCACGCTCATCAATGGACTCTACATGGAGGCACGCAGCTTACGCATCCGACAACAGTACTGGATTCTCGGCGGATGGGCTCCTGTCAATTCTCACATCCTGCGGTGTGTCACGTGTGTTCGGCAAAGGGGGATCCGTGCTCATCAACTGATGGGTCAACTACCCTTCTCTCGGGTTACGCAGACACGACCGTTCACTCATACAGGTGTGGACTACGCAGGGCCACTCACCGTCAAAACGTGGAAAGGAAGAGGTGCCAAGACCACTAAAGGCTGGATTTACGTCTTTGTCTGCTTCTCAACTTCAGCAGTACACCTAGAGGCGGTCAGTGACTACTCATCCGAAAGGTTCATTGCCGCCTATCGACGCTTCTCATCCAGACGCGGCATTGCTCACACCTCACAATCAAACTGCGGCACCAATTTCATCGACGCGGATACAGCTCTCAAAAGGCTGTTTATCCAGAGCACTCAAAACCATCAGCGCATTTCTCAACTGCTCTCGCAAGACAACACCCGATGGGAGTTCAATCTCCCAGCGACACCTCACAGGGGAGGAAAATGGGAGGCCGTCGTAAAACCAAAAGTATCACCTACGGCGCACTATTGGAGAAGGCGTGCTCACCTTTGAGGAGCTCACCACATTGCTCACTCAAATTGAGGCAATTCTCAACTCGCGACCTCTTGAACCATTGAGTGACGACTCAGAAGACATCTCAGCACTCACGCCAGGTCATTTCCTCGTAGGAAGTCCTCTCACCGCCATACCAGAGCCATCACTCACTGACCTGGCCATCTCAAGACTCTCACGATGGCAACTCATCCAGCACAAGGCACCATAGGAACAACGAGATCAAGATCGGATCATTGGTGCTCATCACCGACGAGCGGCTACCACCATGCAAATGGCCGTTAGCCCGGATAACAGCCCTACATCCTGGGAAGGATGGACCCGTGCGGGTGGTGACTTTGAAGACAGCCACTACCACTCTCATCCGACCAGTGATCAAGCTCTCCGTCCTGCCAATCTCATCATAAGATCAGAGATCATCAACATCGTTGCTGATGGCGGGCGGAATGTTCGAGATTAATTTGAATCTCGTTTATTTCATCCCCGGCGTGATGGCAGCATCAGCTGGGTCAGATCGTGCAGCGCCGCATGAGCGCTGCTCGCACATGCCCGATCGCGACGCGAGGCGACCGCGCGACTTCACGTACGTTTCCGGGGCTTCTTTGTCTCATGGCGACCGTACGTAGTACACGCGTCTTGAAGTGCGGATAGTTATCGAGTGCTCTTTTGTGGACTTTCTCATTTTCTCATTTTCTCATCTTCTCACCCTCTCACTTTCTCATCTGCTCATCCGAGAATAGGCTCAGTGAAAAGACACAGTGAACTCTCAGTGCGGCTCATCCCGGACAGCTCGAGTACAGCATCAACGGCGGCTCAGACTCACCACGCACCGCGCACGCCGGCGCCGCGTGGACACGGCTCACGGGCATCAACTTCTCCAGGCCGGCTCTCGATCAATAATATCGACCCGTGCACGTGAATACAGACTTATCATACCGAAGTGACTTATATCGACTTCTCAGATCTCACATTTACAGACTTTTAAATTTGCCGAGACTTTCTCATGTAATTCGTTAAAGTATTAAACCTGTGACATTTCATTTTACATCAACTCGTCAGAGTCTTTAGATCACGTGATGTTCCACCCTAATTAAGCGTGCATTCGCTCCTTGAGTCTTGTCGCTACGTCCTCTCACCCTGCTTCCATCCGCAGCGGTACCAGCGAACTCTCCTAGCGAGAATCGCTAACAGACCATGTATTGTGAATTTTTTTTATAGATCTTGATACGCAACATCTTGTGCAAGAAACTATACAATCATCTTCCACAATATCAAGAGCTACGTTGGTATCTCCGTGCAAAATTTATAATTCACCATGCAAAAGAAAGTTAAGAGAAGAATTGAAAAGAACAAAAGAACATTACAAGTTGCGCGTAAAAAGTCTAACACAAAAATCAAGACGTATGAAGAAAAAAATAGCATCAATGAAAAATGTCTTGGAAGCTATAAAACGAAAAAATTTCTTACAGGAAGAGCAACTGTACAATTTAAAAGGTATTGCTACTGGAAATGCACATCTATTAAAACGTTTAGTTTATAAATGTAAAGGAAAATCACAAAGTAAGAAATACTCGCCTGAATTGCGTACATTTGCACTCACGTTACATTATTATTCACCTCGGGCATATTCCTATGTTAGGGAATTTTTTAATTCATGTCTTCCACATCCGAAAACATTATATAAATGGTATTGTTCAGTTAATGGAGAACCTTTAATAAAGAAGCCTTTGAATTTATTAAAGAACGTGTTAATAAAACAGATCATTTGTTAATTGGGGCTTTAATGATAGACGAAATGTCAGTAAGACAACAAATAGAGTTTGATGGTAAAAAATTTTGTGGAAATTGCGATATGGGAAATAATATTGATAACGAAGAACACAATATTGCGAAAGAGGCTCTAGTATTTCTTCTTGTAGGTGTTAATGATGTATGGAAAATACCAGTAGGCTATTTTCTTATTGATAGTATTACTGGAGAACAAAAAGCAAACTTAATCATTCAATGTATGTCACTTTTGCATGATTGTGGTATATGTATAAAGTCATTAACATGTGATGGTGCAACAAATAATCTTAGCATGATACGTAATCTAAAATGTAATATTACCGATTACAAATGTTTACAGGGGTATTTTAATCATCCCATTACGGATCACAAAGTTCATGTCTTCTTACAAGGGAACGGTCGGAAGTGTCCCTCACCGATTTGAATGAGCTTTGGATATGTTGTAGAGCATAAAAAGTATTAGACCCGTATTTTTTTTATCGGCTTATCTCGACGTTTAGGGGGTGAAACAGCCCCTCGAAAATAAGGGATTTTTTCATTTTTTACGAATATCTTCGAAAATATAAGTTTTATGGAAAAATGTTTTAGACAAAAGTTTTATTGTTTTTTATAGTCTTCACAATGGCGTAATCACATTTTTCAACAATCTCAAATTTTTTAATTTACCCCCACCCCACCATTGTTTAAAAAATTAAAAAAAATTTTCCAACGCAAAAGTTTAAGATCATCAAATGACAATTATATCCATGTATATTTTTATTATGATACGACGATTTGATTTTTGGGAAAATCAGATTTATGAGGTATAGGCGTCGCGCTATAGGTAGGTGTTGCGTTAGGGGGATCCGTCGTAGCAGCGGTCGTGTACGGACGTGCGAGGCAGTGCTGTCCGAGAGCGGCCTTTGGTCGCACGGTCGCATAGGGAGGGGATGACGCACACAAGCGAGCGACCGTGTCCGTGTGCGCTCGCACTTCGGCCAGCTTCGGGCGGTAGAAGAGCGCAGAGCCGCAGACATACTATCTGGTGTCTCTTTCTTTCCCGCTGTAGCTATAGCTAAGCCGCGAGAATCGTACTTGCTGCTTGTATGTCTTTTTTCGTACATACAACGCAAGTAAATGTTTACGTGGATATATTTTATACATAATAAGATAAAATAATTAAAGAAACAAAGAACAGAAAGAGCATAAATGATAAATAAATATTAGAAATCCACTCTTGGCCAACATGTATGTATGTCTTTTCCTTGCAAAAGTTCCGTTGTGTTAAATTTGAAAAATAACTTATTGTTAGTACAATAAAAATGAAATTAAAAATTAAATTAAATGTTATTTGTGTTATAAAAATTATTCTGTTAATATACTTTTTACTTTGATAACAAATATAGTAAAATTAAAGGGGAAAAATTATTTTTGCAATAATAGTTTTGCTGTTTTTCATTTTTACGAATGGACTATGTACATACATGTTGTTGCTCGACAGAAACCGCGAGAAGGTGGTGGTCTCTTCCGTCATGAAAATTTAAACAATTGTTAATTCGACAATTCAACAATTAATTAATAAAAATATAATTAAAAATAACGTTTTATAATTGTAATGCATGTTACAATTATATTGCATAGGAATAT